AAAAACAACATAAAAATGGTATTTAAATCGGGGTGTGCGATAGACTTACCTCCACGTAATGCACCCTGGGCAACGCATATTCATACGGCAAAAAAGTCTATTAACTGGCAGTTGACTTCTGACTTCAAACTATCATGACCCCATTTTATGCTATATTCGACCACTTCAACAGTACTCATCTTACCTTTTCTCTGCCTTTGTGTCTGTCTGTCTACTTCCATCTTTGAATCACTCTTCTGTCCCTCCTCTCGACTGTGTTTTTTCACTCTGTCTGTTCCACCCCTCCATGAAGCCTGAAGTCAGCTAAAGGGCTAATGATAACTATCAAAACGCCTGCCACTTGATATAAATAAATGTTCTATAAATCTGAAAATCGCTAATTGGAAGGAGACTAGTCTGGCAAATATGGAGGATATGGCAGAATCTCTCAATTTAATTTTTCAATTTTTAAGAAGGTCGTTCCTGCTTTGTGGCGCCCCGGCACTGTCAACCTGAGGAATTAGCCATTTTCTGTAAACTAAACGAAAACGCTTATCTTTTCATTATTGGTGTAGTTTTTAACAAATTCCGAAAACAATAAACTTCGGCTATGAATGTTTTGCCGCAGTTTTAGGAATTCGTGCTGACTTGTTCCACGCACATCTCGATATAAGAATAAAAGAAGCCACCGAATGTTTAACCCTATCTTGATTTATGGAACGGAAAAGCCATTAAATTTGGAAATAATCATCGTTTTATCACCAACTTTTTCGTAAGCGATCTACTTCTTGTTCCCAGCACCATTTCGGCGTCAAGACAACAAAGAAAAGGACTTTTTCTCTGCTTACCATTGTTACGCTGAAAAAGTTGATGAAGCTGCACCTAAATTCTCATCCTATTTAATTTGCCGAAACTCTTCAAGTGCGATTGCCCGATCGACCGTGGATATGAGGCTTTCTTCAATAATTCTTCCAAACTTAATCGAGGATCTGATTCAGCCAGAGATTTTAAGACGTTATTAAAATTTGTAAGGCTATTCCCTAAACCACTATTACCCTACTTAGATCACTTAAACCAAAATTGGCATAGGTAGACTGCAACCGCCACTCGATTACAGATATTAAAAGCTTTTTAATCCTGGTGAGAGAAAATCAGCATGCAGTGTCTGATGTGTTCTCGATCAGCCATGTGCTTAGCCATTTTACTTTTAACAATTAAATGAAATTTATTACCCATAAATACAAAAATGTTTCTTACAGTGAGTTCAGACATAAACTAAATAAAAATTCTTTTATAAACGGCGCGATTTCTTATCGATACCCTCCCCCCCCTTTATACATACATATATATATATATATATATATAGAAAATAATCCATAACTACATACAGCAGCATTTTGGGAGCCGGCAATTAAGAGCAAGGATTGAGAAAGAGAAGCCAAGAGACGGTTTCGTTGGGGAATATCGTCAAATTCATATCGGAAGGGAAGAGCTATACTATCCACAACGACAAGTCTTGTCTAAAGGTTGACCAAAACGAAACCGTTAGGCAAAATGAGAATAAACAGCAAAGTTAAAGGCATTAACGCATTGAACACTTGCATTTGGGTGGTATTTACAAAATTCGTTCAGTCTACGAACGGCTGCCAGCAGCTGAAGGTAATCTGTGCATCGGATATAATGAACTTTACTCAAAAGACTCTCCTCCGTTGGAAGATTAGAAAGTACCTCTTTGCAAGCCATTTTTTCTTCTAAATCCTCGCTGCTATTACCTACAGAATAAAACCGCACCCATTTGGAACCAGATAACTAAAATGTAAGCATACTAAGTGAAAAAAAGACATACCAAGCGAATTAATATGCTTATGGAGGTGGGGAACTATATTAGAGTTGAAATGTTCGACCAGGTCTACGGCCATTTGGCGCAGACGCTTGGGCATAAAGTTCCCTTCAGTGTCGAGGAAAATGGCTTCTCCACCTAACCCACCACACCATTGGGGTACTTGGACGGTCAAGCAGGACTGGAGGCTTAAATGAAATGAATACTGCGAATGTCCCAAGTATTATTATGGCTTATATACTGAGATTATGAGAAAGAGATGTACGAATGCACATTTAATTACTGGAATAATCAACCCCAATGATCAACACTAGTCAACATAGGATCAATCGACTACGATTTTTCTGAGCAGAAGGACTTCAAAGCTTTAAAAATATATTCACGCTTAGCTTCGATGTTAATTGAATATTCTTACCTGTAAATGGGAGTGCTTTAGTGAAAGATATGCGATATCAATGTGAATAACTATCTTGACATTCATTGCATATACTATTATGAGAAAGTGGGAAGAAGTACAAAGTAATGAATGCTCTTAGTAAATTAGCATGAAAAAGAATGAAAGATTTTGGGCGAACATGTCAAATAAAATGAACAGATACAGTAACAGTAAACTAGTTACTAAATTTCATGTTAGCGCATATAAGTACACAAGTATCGAACTCACCAAAACTGGGTCTTTCCAACCCCAGGTTGACCACAAAGTTCGCTTATTCGGCCACAAGGAAATCCACCATCCATGAGATCATCGAAACTACAATGCACCAATAAGACTAATCACAACTAGAATGGCTAGGGAGGATATTAATTGACAGAAGATATAGGTCAGATAGATAATGATTAAATGGTAATAAGAGCAATAAGTAGGAAACTTCACTCTTTTGACATAGTTAGCACATTTGATATGCTAGGTCTCCCGACATGTTTTAAATATGAATGGGAAGGATATAGCATTTGAAAAGCGGAACGGGGGAAAAAGAAGTTATCATTTGGAGAATTAGCGCCGGAGAATGATCCATATTTTTTGAGGTTGGAATAGTTTTGAATTGTCGACACGATCGTAGCAGCTTTAGGTTTGGACAATTTGCAAACTATACGGAAATTGTATTATTCGTAATATAATTAAACGATAAATGAAGAATCATCAAACTGAAATATGTATAAATTCAGCAATCACATAAGGATTACAAGAAAAGAAATTTAAAATACGATTTCATTACTGGATGCAACTTGTTCGACAGTCAACCCGCTAACTTCGCCAACATTAGTATATCCAGCTTTTGTAAGTTCTCTAAGGGCAGACGCTGGAAGAGGTAATGTTACCAACTCTCGGAACTCCGGATCGGAAAGCATTCCTAAAAGATTCGGAATATTAAAATTACATTAAAATAGATTGACAAAATTTCGTTATTTAAAGGCCTTTGATAATACCGAAGGCACAACGGTAGACGATCCAAAACACTTATTCAATTCGCTTGCTTGTAAACTCGATACAATTAAACGCATTTAGATATCGAAGGTCATACTTATTTATCAAATCAATCAAATTTAATTAAAATCAGATAATATACTCCGTCCATATAAAATAAATATACTTCTCAGATGTAGTATATTTAATGTCTTCAAATATAAAATGAATTATCTCAGTTTCCATAACGAACGTACTTGAAACTAAGGCATTCAGGGAGTGTTGATCTTGTACCCCTAGATTAGGTTGCAAAATACTAATTATTACAAAGCATATGTATAGGTCAAATTCCATCCGCTTCTCCAACCAGAGACTCTAAAATCATTTTAAGGATATATATAGCTATAGTCATTGAATCGTATAAATAATTGAAGAGATAAATAAACAAGCATATGGAAAGTCACAACATCGGAAAATTTTGTATGAATTAATTCCAAATAAGCTATCATCAGAGATTTTCTTCAAGGCTAAGTGAGGATATTGTGGTATTCATACCAATTTTGTATATTAAAATATTAGGAAACAGATGGCGCTGATCAAATATAATATTAATCATTGAAACTATCTTGAAAGCTACATAGATTTAATTTTACAAATAGCAACCTATTTTGACCCATTTTGTCTTAATTTGTAACTATGTTATTTCATTTTCTATTAAAAGACATTTTATTATGTGTATTTAGGCTTACCTATGGCCGCACAAATTCTACCTTAGCCTGACGCCTCATCGGCGTCTGAAGAAACTTTATGAGCAGTTATTTACGGAAAAGTAATACCAAGCATCGGGGTACAATCCAATTAAAGGACTCTGTGGCTCGTTTATTTACTTGTATTTCATAAACATAGTATATATTCTAGCAAAGAAAAGTTCTGAAAAATGCATTTTTTAGACGGGTCAGTGTTGCATAGGGACTATAATTAGGAGGCATAAAAAACTCAAGTCTGCTATTGATTGACGAATGCATTTTTAGTTTCTATAAGCAGAGGGTAGGTTTTCATTAATTTTACAAGTATATTGTAGCACATCATGGCTAACTATGCTTTAGTCATTCTAATTTTTATCAAAACACTATTAATGTGATTATATTCTTCCAAAATATGCTGATCGATTTATTATTAAAAATCTCCATAGGGATTGTTGGCATTAATGAGTCAGTTCACTTAAACAAATTCTGGTCAAATGTTAGCAACAATATCAAGAAAAATTCTTAATGAATATTTGAAAATGACAGATTTTCAGCTGCATTGATGATATCTCAATTTATGAAGAATTTTCAAGCCTAAAATGTAAACCGAGTTATGGGTGTTTTTTTAAAATTATTTTCAATGTTAAACACCCCTTTCTCACTTTTCACAAATACCCTCAGTCTATTACATTGCAGTTAATTGTGAGGCACCACCTCTTACTTTGAAACTTAAATGGAACTATTAGTAAAATCAATTGAAAGGGCGAGGTGCATAGTTTTTAGTATCACACAGTTTTCCCGGGCGTGTAACTTCAGGATGCCGCGTAATACACCCATTTCATTTAACCAGAATTTTCTTGATTATCAGCCCACGTGCGTTCTCCAATTAACTTTATTCCGGCTAAAGTCATTCAAATTGATAAAATTTAAATATTTTGCATTAAATAGTATCGATTAATGACATATTCAATTATTGTAATAATGCAGAATTAATCTACCGATTTGGGTTCAGAATAAACTCCACTGATTTTGTGAATAAAATGCGATGTCAAATTAGGTTAAACAAATAACCCTCGTTCAAACCCACCTCCTCCGAATTGAAACATTTGCTCTATAGCTTTGGTGTTCTCCTGTTTTCCTGGTCAAAAGTGATAGATATAAGCTCAAAGAAAATTGGCAGCAATTGCATAGAAGAGGAATAGTAGTTGAAGCATTGTAATGTTAATCATTTCCAGAACCATTAATTTGGCTAAACTAAAAGAAGTCATGAGGTATTTTAGGGAGCATTTTGGTGTGCGTTGTTTAGTGGGCGGTGTTTATCTCCTACCAGATCAAATTTTTTGGTGGAGTTTCCTTACTTTCATATAAATGGGATTGTACGATCTGGAAATCGATATAAGCTGTTTTGTGTTGTAATATGAGTTTAAATAGATTTAATACGCACCTGTTAAAAATACAAAAAACTTCGTGATTCCCGTTCGGTGGATGAATTAAAATTTGATATTCTAAAACTATGCTTATTTTGGAGTCTTCAGGAAGAAGCAGCTGTGGCTGTAACCTAAAATGCCTTAGTAAGTCTCAGAGAGAGAGAGAGAAAGCGCGCATTGACAAGATTTCTTCTTAGTTTATAAAGTAAAGGAAGAATACGCGCAAAGTGTAGTTCAACCCACTTTGTGGTATACAGAGGTAACTCCACAAAATCCTTTTTTAGAACATGATTGACGTAATATCGTTTCAGCTGGAGAATTAAATTATGCTTCATATGAAATGGTCATATATAATTGATACTAGCTTTATAACACCAGCTTTATTTAGTTCAACTGATTAAAGCACTAAGTAAAAGAATACGAAGTGGATGTAAAAGTAGGTGTTTTTGAAACAAAATTGCCAAGGTCAGAAGAAAGTGGAGGTGGGAGATTGCGTTCTTGAGGATAAATATTAATATTCTTCTTTGTTGGAGCCTCTTTATCCTTAAGACCATTGCCTGATAATTTCGGGAAACCTTTTATTTGATTTTAGGCCGACTTTTAAGTTAATAAAGGGGTTTCAAATGCCAGATATGCTTTTCAAAAGTGAAAACTTCCATTTGTTTGCATATATTAATCGCCCAATTCACTAACTAGTTAAAATTCTTCCGATACACATGAATTTGGTTAGACTTAAAATATCGAGCGATAATGCCACCCTCATATGAGAGTAACAGCCATGCTAGGTGTTTGAAAAAGGTTATCTCACAACTAAAATCAACTTAGCTCAGTTTAAATAAGGTACAATGCGCTTTGTAAGATGGACAACAAATGCTGAGGCTACAAAGAGAGATTTAAATAAATCCTAACGCTAAATTCGATTAGCAACTACACAACTATACCAAAATCGTCCGAGTTATACAACTAATTGTTAAAAGGAATTAAATTTTATGTGTCAATGTAAATGAACCACGACATATATCTATCATATATCTCATATCTATCATTTAATTTAGTGACATTAAATATAGCAGACATAGAACAGCTTGTATCCAACATATAGGTCAAACTTAAGGCCATGGGTAAGAAAATCATGCAAAGTATTGTTTATTGGAAAGTGTTAGGAGTTTAAAGCAAGCGACGTGACTGTAGTAACCAATCGCATTGCCACAATCTGACTAATCTCACTTTGAAGGAGATTAAGCTTGATACAAACTGTCTCATGACTTATTTGGCTAACGTCAAATAATAAAGACAAGGATTGTGGGTGGGTTCTCAAAGTAGCATGAGTAAGAAATTCATTTAACACACCCTACTTAATAATAACTGCTAAGGGGTGTGTGATAGACTTACCTCCACGTGGTGCATCCTGGGCAACGTATATTCATACGGCAAAAAAGTCTATTAACTGGCAGTTGACTTCTCACTTCAAACTACCACCACCTCACTCTATGCCATATTTGACTATTTCCACAGTACTCACCTCACCTTTTTTCTACCGTTGTATTTGTCTCTTACATCTTTGAAACACTCTTCTGTTCCTCCCCTCTCGACTTTTTTCAATTTGATGTTCCTTCCCCTCTGTGAAGCCTGAAGTCAACTAAAGGACTAATGATAACCATCAAGACGCCTGCCATTTGATATAAATAAATAATAACTGCCAATCATTGACAAAGTTAGACTGTATTTGAATTTTGACCTGGTAGAATATTCAACTCTGAAAAAACTTACAAATTTTAAACCACTATGAATATCATACTGGAATTCAAAATAACTCATAATTAAATGTAAAAGCTTGGCTTACTGCAAGCAGAGGTACTGGCAACTTTATCTAAGACAGTGATTGAAAACATCAGGAAGTTTGAACATTTAAATACTAATAATCGGTATTGGAGTGGAAAGCTTCACAAATATAAAGATTCGGAGGCGTTATAGCAGCTCTTGCTTCAGAGTAAAGCTGTTTAAAGAGCCTGACCATGATAGGCCAGTTGTTATCTCATAGAGCTACTGATCTTCCTTAGCCAAACAACAAAAGGATGTCAATAGCGAATGGGGTGACCAAGAATCGGTTTGGACAAAGATGTGCATGATGATTGTGAATGAGAATGACAGGGGAAAGGAGCAGGTAAAGGAATGGGGTAGAAATGAGGAAGCGACTATGTTAAGGGCAAAAAAAGCCTAACCTTTAGGAACAGACGAAATGAGGTAAGATAAGACAGTTGATCGATTTCGCAAACGTAGAACATCGCCTTCATTTCTCAAAAGGCATTAATCCTGAAAGAAAGCTACCTCATATTTAAATAGTAGGTGAGAGAAATGATAATCACTGTTATATTTAGAAATTAAAGAACGTGCCATTTATTTAAAGCATTCTGGCAAGACCGAAGTGAAAAGAATATATATATTAGAACTAAATCTACACAAAATAATTTAGTGGTTAAGGTTCTGCTAAAAATCAACCAAGTGGAAATATAAAAAGGAGTAAATCTGTACTCATTAAGAGTTGGTAATAGCAACATACTTTGTGATCAAGTTCGATATCGTCTCCAATTGAAAATGATAATTGCGCCTCTCTTACTCTCTATACTTACTATTTTTGTATCACAAAAGTGAAGTGCAAAGTGTAATTATCTCTCACATTCTCCGAATTTCATGACACCGTGTCATTCCCATGGGGCAACGTTGCTCATGCGCCAAAAATGTCGATAAATCGGCAGTTGACTTCTGACTTTA